AAAATGGGCCCATTTTTTGCCAAAAAAGGGCATGCATAGCCTTTAGGAGGCTTATAGAGTGCTCCTGGGTTGTGGGGGGCAAAAACAAGTCAAAAACAGCTTATTTTTTTGCTCATTTTTGCCCTTCCCAGCCCCAGGACCACTCTGGAAGCCTCCTAAAGGCTCTGCACAGCCATTTTTGCAAAGGGGGCGGGGTTTCGGGAGGCCAAACATGCTGTACTCAGTGCATAAGATGCCGACTTTTTTGAGGGAAAAAGGTGCGTCTTATACTACCAAAAAATACGGTTTGTATGTATGTATGTACACATATTTTGTAGTTTTCAATATCTAAATCTTAGTATCCTATACCCTTTAAAGTGATATTTTGAAAAAAAATATTCTCAGGAAAAATTGCTTGGCCTAATGTCTTTACCGACCAAAGACCAATATGAAGAACTGAAAGAGAAAAAGAAACAAGAGTTAGAGAGAAAACTGCAAATGGAGAGACTGGCAAGTATTTTAATTAGTATACATTTCTAACAATAAGTTTCTGTTTGTTTGTTCACTGATTAAAGTATTTCCTTTCTGAAATACTTTACTTTTGAATTTGTTCGTTAAAACAATTGCCAAGTAGTGTGACATAAGTCTATAATACATTTAGAACCAGTTTAAATAAGAATGAGGCTTTCCCCCCCTATTTCTTGTTTAATTCATTTCTTTTCTTGCATATCTTTTTTTGGGTGGGTGTGGGAATGATGTCTCTTAGAAATTTTCAGAAGTTTTCAAAAATATCTTAGCCAGGAGAAAAATCTGCTCTGCTCTCAAATTTTTGTTTTTACTACCTTTATGTTGCTTTATTTTATTACTAGTTTAGAAACATAAACATATTTTTATCTTATTGAAATAACAGTTGCATGTGATACATTAAATTTAAAAATGCAATGCATATTAAAAGTGATTGGATCAATGACTTCTGATCTAATCTCTGAGTTAATGGACTGCTGATCATTCCATGGCAGAACACAGTTCTTTGAGATCTATCGAGAATAAAACTTGCTAGAGCATGGCTATTTACCCCATATGTAAAAGTACAACTTCTTGCCCATTCTGCTTAGCTTCGTCTGTAAAACATTATTCTAAACATATTTCATGGGAAATTATTTCTGTTAAATACGATTTAGATCATTGTGAACATGGACAGTTGAGGAACAATTAAATTAATAGTAATCCTACATAATCCATCATAAAGATTCTATTTTTTGAGATGGAGAAAAAAATGTTAGAATATTCATGACTGGGAAAGACATGGTAACAAGGTCAGCCAATGAATAGGCATAGTCANGCAAGTCAAAAGTTTGGACATCCATAGTTTAAATGGATTCTTAAACCACCATAATCAGAGCTTCCAGCACAATGTACAATAAATATGAACTATATAAATAAAAATGTAAGATTCTTAAGTTTTGAAATGTGGGGGCAATAGCTAATGATACTTTTCACCAGTCTAGTCCTTACATATGGGTTTTATGCTTATTATATCTACATGAATGTGTGCTCCTTCATGTGTATCCAACATCTGCAAGAATAACTTCCATCTGTAATTGTCAAAAGAGCTAAAAGCTCATAGGTTCTCCATGCCTGTGCTAGTTGAAATCCACATCATCTTGATGTGAATGAAAGGCCTTAAAACATGACAGTGAGAAGGAAATGTTAGTATATTGTCAGACTATCTACTTTCCATGCCCAGCCCTTAAAGAGTACAAGGTAGAAAGATTAAATAGCTTATTCCATCTACTGTATATTTTTTCTCCAGGTTTCCAGTGCAGTTCTTTACTACCCCTTCCCTCAAACCTCTACGTAAGACAAACTAGGGTCATTTAAACAAAAATCTGGGAAAAAATATCAAAGGCAAACCGTTGACTGCAGTTTTTTCTAAGGGAAACAAAACTTCCTGAAGTTAAAATACAAACTATTACTTGGTTTACCAGCATTGAACACTACCTATTACAGCTCAGACTGGCAATTTTACACAGTTCTATTAACAAATAAATACGTCAACCAGACTGTTTTGAAGACATGAGCCATTTCCTTCTTTTAGCAGACAATGTTAAGGATTATCTTCCATGTGGTAGCTACAATTAGGGGCATAAGTAAAGACTTCTAGTCCATCTCATCAAGAGCTGCAGGAAAATCCAGCAAATGCTCTACTTACCCAAATAGAATCTTAAGAAAGGTGAAGGAGTCATGTCTTTAAACATCACAATCTGTACCCAAGGATTTTTGTACTGAATCTGAGGTATGTTGAAAAACACAAATTTTCTATGGTAAAAAACAAAAGCAAGCATGAGAAACAATCTATTCAGTTTTTTTTTAACCTCTTTGAAGGGCGAGCAGTTGAATAGGTGTTGCAGTTTAGCTTTTGAGTGATTCCGTCCATCTGGAGTGTGACNCCATAGTTT